CCATCGCCTTCGACCTCCACGCTTTAATAAGCCTTCTCCATCCGAGAAGTCGCTCCCGGTTCCCTGGAAAAAGAATTGTCGCAGCCCCCCGAATAAGCGCAAACCAAAAATTCCCATCCCTCCTCCACTTGACGCTCCGTCTTTAATTACCTCGGATGCCGTGAAGAAAAAACCAGACCCCCGGGTGTTTCCGCTCCTCAGCCGTCGTCTGGTCGAGGAACCTTGAAAAATGCATGATCATGAATGGTCAAGGGGGTAAAAGCATCGGAGAGGAACACTTTTTATATTTTCCAGAGCAGAGAGCAGGTTTACTTTTCTCGTCAAAAAAACATACCTTGCGAAGAATCACTGGGTGAGGGAGATGTCGGAGAGGGACACCGTTCCAGGTCAGAGCGGCGCATACCCCCCTGTGTGTACAGACAGTGGCAAGGGAAAGTGAATGATGGGAATGAATCAATATAAGATGCAGGTTGGGACTGGGAAGCAGTAATGACTCGCTTGCTCGCTGTGTGGAGTCGCTGACATGATGGAAGTGCCAAAAACCGAGAAGAGTCCTCAAAACTAAGACGAAAGACGGGCTCAAGGCGTATAATTGATGTTGAGAATGGTGACTTCATAGAAATTGACCAAGGTAGGGTCTGTGGAAACGAAAAGTTCACTCAAAATGGATTTCTCTGTCTGCAACCACGCCCCAGGCTATTCGCGTTTCGGGGGGTATGGGGACATATAGAATTTATTAAGACCTTTCCAAAAAGGCCGGCTATGATGCCCTGGAAGAGCTTTTTTACTGCAACAACAGGTACTTTTTGCTAGAGACCCTGGTAGAAGAAAAGCAGATGTTGGGCAGATTTCCTGAGGCACTCGTAAGCTGCATCCTTCCCTGTGTTTGTCGGCCTCAAATCTTATTTCCGTTTGTGTACGTGCATTTCATGGCCGTCTGACAGACCATTTGTGCTCTGCGATTATGAAAGTCAACGATGCTGTCTGGTTTCGTTGTCCAGGCTAATCTTGATCGATGCCGGTTAAGAATGTTCCATGTCTACAGGATCTCAGAAGCCTATGAATCTATTGGCTTAGGCGATTGTTTCAGCGCTTTCCCACGCAGTCGGACTATTTTTTGAAGCTACTTTCTCATCTATCCGCATTTCAAAGAGAAAGTCATAGTAACTGGCGACAGTTTGATCGTGCTCTCTTCAGAGATGAATCCAAAGGCCTCTGTAAACTTGCATATCCCAGTGCCATCTAGTTGTAATTCTCCCAGCGTTACGGATAGTATCTGTCCTAAGCCCTTTGTTTACCATTCATTTTAATCTGGTTACATTACAAGCGAAGTCGATCGATTTTTAAGACTTCAAACGAAGCAATTCATGCGCAAAGAGGAATGGGCCTCCCAGAGTTACTCCGTGACCGAGCAATAAATAGAATTCGCGAACAAAGTGTAGCCCAGTACATTTTTAACCAAGCCCATTTGCAATCTACGAAGCCTAAACGACTAAGTCACGAAGCACAAGATGCAAAACGTTGAGAGACGAGGAAGCTGCCCTGTCATCGATGTTCGTTCAGTGGCAAATGGCCCGCAAACAACGAAGAGTCGACAGTGTAGGTTGAACAATTGAGTAAAGCGTGCACAACGGGCTTGCTTGATCATGGCCTACTTGATTGATTTTTGTTCACTACAATTATAACTCTTAAGCATCCTTTTTTAGACTGAATGTTAAGCAGAAGCCGTACAGCATGTCTGAAGGCCGTTATGGAATAGATTTATTCTGGAATACTGTCTGCTGTGCGGTAATAGACACATGTGTGTAAAGAGCAATTTCAGAAATTGCAGTGTATGACTGCAATTCCCTCACAAATCACCAAGGCATGCACAAAGTGCGATGGATTAAGCGTGCAAAAGGTGCTCAGGAATGGGTTTCGCACACGAAGAAATTGAAGCCGGTCGTGACAAGCAGATGCGTGGCCTTGCCCCGAGCCTAACCATGAAACACTACAGGCACATTTATTTTATACGTAAAACAATATATTAATCTTAACAATTGCTGTCCACTGCGCCCGCCTCGAGCTGTTCTCTAATAGCGACTACACGAAGGGCTCGGTACTGGTGTGACGTACACTACCAGATGGAACTTGAGCTGACCAAATTTTGAACACACCGTTTTCTCACGGGCGAAAATTCTGACCCTTTCGGATCGACGCGAACATGGCATGACACTTGTGCCCACGTCTACAGGGACACTTCGATTCTTTTAGCGGTGCAAGCGGGGCGGGGCATGGCAGCATCCTTACTGGAAAGTAGGACATCCGTCCCTG